GGCTACTGCTTGCTTATAAGACTTTTTAGTAAAACGCTAAACTCAGCCCCGCCCACCTCTTTTCTCTGTTTCACTGACTTGTTTTATTTACCGTAAAATGGAAAGTGAATTCTATGTTGACAAGCTGTAGAATCTAAGATTTAAAACAAAGTAAAAATTGGCCCCGCCCACCCACCCCTGGTCCGTTTTGATCATTCATTCTTATTGAATAATAATAGAATCTAGGATTATATTTTTTAATATAATTTAATTTCCACTAAATTGTTCCAATTTTTAGATTTTGCAATTTCACAAGTTTTCAATTTTTACTTTTTCAATCTTTTATTTCTTCCATTTTTCGATTTGCAGTTTTTCAGTTTTTCATTTTTTTGTTAGAACTTGCTAAGATAAGACTGATTTTGGCAAATGACATATCTTCTAAGACAGTAGAGGGCGGGTGGGCGGGCCTATTACTTGCTAAGAAGAGACTAATTTTGGCAAATCGCAGACTTTCTAAGAAAATAGAGGGCGGGTGGGTGGGGCTACCACTTGCTAAGTTAAGACTGAACAATATTAGGAGTAGTCATTGAATGGCGAGGGGTGGGTGGGCGGGGCTACTGCTTACTTATAAGACTTTTTAGTAAAAAGCTAAACTCAGCCCCGCCCACTTCTTTTCTCTGTTTCACTGACTTATTTTATTTACTGTAAAATGGTAATCTTAATATATATAAATCTCGTGTCACAATGTTGGTCCTCAATGGACTCCTAAACCACTTAACCGATTATAATAAAATTCGCACACCATGTGCAGTTCGATCCAACTTGAGAGATAGGATAGTTTAAATCTCAAATTATAGTCGCAATTTTAATTTATTGCTAATTATTTGTCTGCTATTATTTGACAGTCACAATTATCTGTTAACTCCAAATGATTCTAACAGATGTCGATACCTTTCGACTGGGTTTCTAATATTTAAACGATTAAATTATTATTGTCAGTCAAATGCCACCGAAAAAATCTAACCTCAACAACGCGAGCAGCAAAGGGTCACGACGCAAACGTGTTGAAAGAGCTCAGCAATTACCAGAACAAATCGAAACAGGGCGGTTGAATAAATCGTTTAATTTATTAATTTAGCTAAAATATGCTGTATAAACAGTTCTGGAACATTTAATAATTTTTGGTGATGACGTCATCGACCTTTTGAAGGGAAAGACTAGCTAAATTTTAATGAATAACGAAATGAATGTCTGCAAAATTATGTTGTGCAAAATTTATTTATTTACTTATTTTAAGTATAGTAATTTTCTAACAGAAAAATTAAATTACTTGTTTTTGAGTGTATTAACAAAATTAATTCGCTTAATTTAATTACGAAATCAATGTCTGCAAAATTTTCTTGTACAAAATTTATTTATTTATTTTAAACAGAGCAATTTTCATAGCAGAAAAAGTAAATTACTCGTTTTCCACTGAATTAACTACTTAATTCGCTTAATTTACTAATTTAGTTGAGACATACTGTACACGCAGTTGTGGAAAATAAGACATATATTTTAGTACTTCCTTGGGTTACGCTCGGGAACTAAAGTAATATATATAAAAGTTTATAAAACTAGAGACACCGAAATTCCTTCGTCTCTGACGTACAGCCAGTCCCCATATAAATGTAGAATCGTATTTTTAATGTTTTTTATTTTAAAATTAATTGATGCACATGGAATTGTGTGTCTGGGATTAATAAACAAAATGGTTTAAGTGTTCATTATTATTTTCGTGACAAAAAAATTAAATTGTTCGTTTTTGACTGTATTAACAAATTAATTCGCTTAATTTATTAATTTATTTGAGACATACTGTATAAACAGTTCTGGAAAATAAAATGATTTTTGGTGATGACGTTATCGACTTTTTGGAGGGGACGAGTAGCTAAATTTTAATCAATTACGAAATCAATGTTTGCAAATTTTTTTTGTATAAAATTTATTTATTCACTTCTTTTAAGTAGAGTAATTTTCCTAACAGAAAAATTAAATCACTCGTTTTTGCCTGAATTAACAAAATAATCACTTAAATTATACATTTAGTTGAGACATATCATATATCAGTAGTTCTGGAAAATAAAATATTTTTGGGGATGATGTCATCGAATTTTTGGAGGGAGAGACTAGCTTAATTATAATTAATTACGAAATCAATGTTTGCAAAATTCTCTTGTACAAAATTTATTTATGTATTTTAAGTAGAGCAATTTTCGTAAGAGAAAAAGTAAATTACTCGTTTTTGACTTAATTAACAAATTAATTCGCTTAATTTATTAATTTAGTTGCGACATACTGTATGAACAATTCTGGAAAATAATATTATTTTTGGTGATGACGTGATCGACTTTTTGGAGGGGACGAGTAGCTAAATTTTAATGAATTACAAAATCAATGTTTGCAAATTGTTTTGTATAAAATTTATTTATTCACTTATTTTAAGTAGAGTAATTTTCCTAACAGAAAAATTAAATCACTCGTTTTTGCCTGAATTAACAAAATAATCGCTTAAATTATACATTTAGTTGAGACATATCATATATTAGCAGTTTTGGAAAATAAAATATTTTTGGGGATAATGTCATCGAATTTGTGGACGGAGAGACTAGGTTAATTATAATTAATTACGAAATCAATGTTGGCAAAATTTATTTATGTATTTTAAGTGGAGCAATTTTCGTAAGAGAAAATGTAAATTACTCATTTTTGACTTAATTAACAAATTAATTGGCTTAATTTATTGATTTAGTTGAGACATACTGTATAAGCAGTTGTGCAAAACAAAATATTTATTATAGTACTTCGTTGGATTTCACTCGGGAAGTAAAAGTATATAAAACTAGTGACACCGAAATTCCCTCGCCTCTGAAGTACAGTCAGTGCCCACATAAATGTAGCTTCGTATTTTTAATATTTTATATTTTAAAATTAATTGAAGCACATGGAATTTCTAAGCGTATTTTCCGTGAACACGATTTTTGCGATGAAATCATTACAATGTGTCTGGGATTAATAAACAAAATGTTTTAAGTGTTCATTATTATTTTTGTAACAGAAAAACTAAATTACACGTTTTTGTTTGAATTAACAAAATAATCGCTTCAATTATTAATTTAGTTGAGATATACTGTATAAGCGGCATATTTTCGTGGACGACGTCATGGAATTTTGGAGGGGAAGTCTAGCGAAATTCTAATGAATTACGAAATCAATATTTGCAAAATTATCTTGTACAATCACTCGTCTTTGTAACAGAAAAAGTAAATTGCTTGTTTTTGACTGAATTAACAAATTAATTCGCTTAATTTATTAATTTAATTGAGACATACTGTACAAGCATAAATTTTAATGAATTACGAAATCAATGTTTACAAAATTTTCTTACACAAAATGTATTTATTTATTTTAAGTAGAACAGTGATTGACTCGACGTAAAAATGTCCATGTATAATTCATACATATGCGACTGTTTTAAAACACTTCAATAAATTCAAAGTAATCAGTTCCCGAATGAAGGCGGATTCATAAACCACAAGTACAGGAATATGTTATTTCATACAATTCAGACAGCATTTACCATGCAAAATTTGAAGGTGACGTCATTATCTATACGATATTCCTAACAAACACACAAAACTTGAGGACAATCGATTTGGTCGTTTTTATCTATTTAATAAAAATCGACACAGACGACAAGTAGGCGGCAAACAGATTGGAATAGGCGACCTACTTTTGCCTACTCTAGGGAACGTCTCGAAAACATATCTGTCATCTCTTCCTGGCGTCATGAACAAATAATTTGAAAGTGAAACTTAATTTTTTACGTCTAAATAAGTTTTTATTCGTTACCAAAAAATTAAGAATTAAATAGGAAAATTAGTAAAAGTCGCTGAAAGGCAAAAAATCTGCAATTACGAATTTTTAGAGTGCATATTTTTATCGAACTGTCACGGCAACGTCGCAAAATTCCGACAAACCAATCCCCTAAAATCATGCATTATTTGGGCCAGAATCCGCGTTACGGCTGAAGACATCCCCAGTTAAATTACAAATTTACGGTCGAATGATGAGGCTAAATTTGTTTCCAAACGTTGATAGATACAGATTTGACGTTTGACATTTAGTGATAAATGAATTACCAGCCCAATTTCCATAAAATTATGGTTACCCTTAAGCAAACACAAGCAACGAGAATTTTCCCGAACAACCATTTCCAAATGCAACAATTTCAACTTTTAATGTGCAGCAGCGTCACATAACTTGGTTACTTGAAAAATTTACAACTCCTTAGAAAAAGTGCGAGTGCAGAGGGTCTCATCAAAAATTAATTCCCAGCGTCGTCTTAAACTCGACCGCATTGTAAAGTTACAACTCTCAATGATAAAGAACCCCGCTTAGCAAACTTTGTTGAGAAATTTTGAACAAGTCGCGATAATATTTTTGGAACAACGGGAACAATAACATAAATAATGGAAGTTATCTGTGATCGTACATTTGAGAGAGTTTCATAATTTCCTGCGTTAAAAGTGTGAATTTACAAAAGGTGTAAGAAGCAACAATTGATCGTCGTTAATGTGTTTGTAAAAATGTTTGGACTTTTTTTGAGTGTGTCACGGTTGCGTGTTGAAGTGTAGCAACAGTTATACAAAGCGCCGTTTTTGCAGTCTGAGTAGTAAGGTTTTGGGTCATTTTCGAAGCGATGTCTCGTCGGGGCGAAGTTGTGGCGTTAATTACGGTCAGAGACAATATTAATAGCCCCAATAACATGCGCTAATTAATAAATTAGCCCGCTGCCGCTTACAATGAATCAAGTTCGATTTTGTCGACGTAAAAGCGTCGAATTTATGCTCCGTTTGTTTTCCACTCGACCAGCGAAAGCTGATACACTAATCCGCGGCAAAGCTATTCTTCGGACCTCTATGTGTCCTACATTCGCTGCAAGTTACGTAAGAGTGAATGAAGATAAGCGAAAAACTCACAGTATGTGTCCGTGGTGAGTCTGTCGATGGTGTCCTGCTTCAACTTCGAGTTTTTCTTGCCCATGTCGGAGAGTTTCGCTTTGAACTTCGAAGAACAGCGCACGAATTTCTCTCGGTTTCACAGCACTAAGGGGTGACGCGCAAAGTCCCCCTATACGGGGCAAATCGCCGTCACGCTTGCGCCCTCTCACCAGGAAGTCCACTGTCGCACATCCTGCACTTAACTATCTGCAAATGCTGCTGCAGGGATGAACTTGGGGAAAAAACCCTATCGAACGCCTCGGCCGGGCTGCTTTCTGGATCTGGAGGAAAGGGATGGCCGAGGGCGGTGTGGCGGCGAAGAAAGGGCCTTCTTATCGCAGAGATACACGGGGGTGGACCGCAGCGATCAATTCATATTTCACACTTTCGGAGGGTGAGAGTTTAATGTCGTCTTGTTAGATGTGGTGAGGTTGGCAAGGTGGAGGGAATTGCGAAGGGTTGGGTTGATAACCGACAGGGTTTTAATCTTCTTGTCAACGTGACAAAAAAGTGTGCTTATGGAATCAACGCCGTTTCAAAAGCAACAAAGGTTATGGTGCATGGTCACGTCAGAGCGGGATTAATCAGGAAAGTGGTGAAGCTAGGTTTAAAATTCACACACGATGTGCACGACACAGGGAGCTTGAAACGTGAACAACTGTTAAAATGCTACATCGAAAATTTTATCCCGTTGTGCAATAGTAATGAAGGAAGTTGAAAAGGAAAAAATTAAAAATTAAGCTGCACTGTGGGAGCAAATCTAAAAACTCTCAGAGTTTTTGAAGTTAAAATTTATTTATAATTGCTTACATTTTGCTTTTTAAGTAGAATACTCTGTATTTTATTTGTACATCTTACTCTGGTTTTTATTGACTTTATTTCGATGTTTGTGTCTCTTATAAAAATGAAATATCACAGAAACTATCGATTTAGTTTAATTGTAGTTTTTTTTTTTTAAACTGGATAGCTAAAAATTATGAAAAAAATCACTTTATGCACAGCCCTGTAGAGAATCCATCAGGCGATGGGTGTGAAAGGGAGAATAACCCCAAGTCGATACCAAGACAGGTTTTCGAAATATTCAATTGCAAATTCAAATTTTTAAAATATCTCAAAAACCACTGTATGTATGTTGTCGATTTTGGAAAAATGGTAGAGATTTTAGAAAAACTGAGACTGTGAAAAAATTTAAGAAATCAAAATAAATAGAAAAATCGCCTGTACTCGAAATATTCGGTTTCAAAATCATTTTTTTAAATATCTTAAAAATTGCCATACGTAAATCATGTTACCGATTTGGAAAAATGGTAGAAATTTTCTAAAAATTGAATTTGGAAAGACAATTAAGGGATCAAAATAAACACAAAATCTCCTTTACTAAGTTTCAAAAGCGTTCGAGGATACGTGAAAATTTCAAAAGGGGTAGCTATGGAAATATTAAGATTTTTCCTAAGTTGGCCAAACAACCACAAAAAAAAATCATGGAGATAGATTACGACGAGTTGAATCCAAAAAATGTGGCATATTGATGATCTTGGTTCCACAGGTTGGGACTGTCATCGAAAATCCCGGAATTATCATGGAATTTTTGTTAAGGACGTATTTAACGCTATTATGGTAAAACGGGGTGGCCAAAAATTATGAAAAAAATTCGGTTAACGCAGGAATGATGGCTGTATAAGAGAGAATAATCCCAAATCTATACCTTAACGGGTTTTCGAAATATTCGGTTTCAAAATCATTTTTTTAAATATCTTAAAAATTGCCATACGTAAATCATGTTACCGATTTGAAAAAATGGTAGAAATTTTCTAAAAATTGAAGTTGTAAAGAAAATTAAGGGATTAAAACAAACTCAAAATCTCCTTTACTAAGTTTCAAAAGCGTTCGAGGATACGTGAAAATTTCAAAAGGGGGATGGAAATATTAAGATTTTCCCTAAGTTGGCCAAAAAACCACAAAAAAAAATTGAGAGATAGATTAGGAGGAGTTGAATCCAAAAATGTAGCATATTGATGATCTTGGTTCCACAGGTGGAGGCTGTCGTCGAAAATGCCGGAATTATCATGGAATTTTTGTTAAGGACGTATTTAACGCTATTATGGAAAAACCGGGTGGCCAAAAATTATGAAAAAAAATCGGTCAACGCAGGAATGATGGCTGTATAAGGGAGAATAATCCCAAATCTATACCTTAACGGGTTTTCGAAATTTTCAGTTTCAAAATCATTTTTTTTAAATATCTCAAAAATTGCCATACGTAAATAATGTACCGATTTGGAAAAATGGTAGAAATTTTCAAAAAATTGAAGTTGTAAAGAAAACTAAGGGATCAAAACAAACACAAAATCTCCTCCACTAAGTTTCAAAAGTATTCGAGGAAAAGTAAAAAATTTCAAAGAGAAAAATAGAATTTTAACTAAATTGCCTAAAAATCCACAAAAATTTTGGCAGTTAGATTTCAATAAGCTGAATCCAGAAATATATCATGTTGATGGTCCGGGTTCCATCACTGATCGAAAATTCTGGTACTATCATGGTATTTTTGCTAAGAACATATTTAGCGCTATTACGGAAAAACTGGGTGGCCAAAAATTATGGAAAAAATCCTATTTACGTATAAATGATGGGTATATAAGAGAGACTAATTCCAAGACGATACGATGACTGGTTTTCGAAATATCCGGTTTCAAAATCAAATTTTTAAAATTATCAAAAATGGCTATACTTCATGTTGTCGATTTTAGAAAAATGGTCAAATTTTTTTATAAACTTAAGCCGTAAAAAACTGCAAAAGTTCAAAATAAACAAAAAATCTCCCATACTAAGTTTTAGAAGTGCTTGAGAAAAGGTCAAAATTTCAAAAGGGGTATGGATAAATTAAGATTTTCCCTAAGTTGGCCAAAAATTCACAAAAAAAATCTGGTCGAGCTGAATTCAAAATTGTGTCATTTTAATGGTCTTCGTTCCACAGTTTGGGGCTTTCATAAAAAATCTCGGAATTATCATGGAATTTTTTTAAGGACGTATGAAACGCTATTATGGAAAAACCGGGCAGCCAAAAATAAAAAAAAATCCCATGTACTAAGGAATGATGGCTGTATAAGGGAGAATAATCCCAAATCTATACCTTAACGGATTTTCGAAATGTTTGGGTTTGAAAATCTTTTTTTTTTAATATCTCAAAAATAGCCATACGTAAATCATGTTACCGATTTCGAAAAATGGTAGAAATTTTCTAAAAATTGAAGTTGGAAAGACAATTAAGGGATCAAAATAAACACAAAATCTGCTTTACTAAGTTTCAAAAGCGTTCGAGGATACGTGAAAATTTCAAAAGGGGTATGGAAATATTAAGGTTTTCCCTAAGTTGGCCAAAAATCCACAAGGAAAAATCTGGGAGATAGATTAAGACGAGTTGAATCCAAAAAATGTGGCATATTGATGACCTTGGTTCCACAGGTTGGAGCTGTCACCGAAAATCCCGGAATTATCTTGGAATTTTTGTTAAGGACGTATTTAACGCTATTATGGAAAAACCGGGTGGCCAAAAATTATGAAAAAAAATCCAGTCAACGCAGGAATGATGGCTGTATAAGGGAGAATAATCCCAAATCTCTACCTTAATGGGTTTTCGAAATATTCGGTTTCAAAATCAAATTTTTTAAAGATCTCAAAAATTGGCATTCGTAAATCATATTGCCGATTTGGAAAAATGGTAGAAATTTTCGAAAAACTAGAAGAACAAAATAAACAAAAAATCTTCTTTAGGAAGCTTTCAAGTGTACTTGAGGAAAATTCAGAAATTCAAAAAAATTAAAAAACATTCTGGGAGATACGTATTGGTAATCCTGCCAAGAACTGATTTAGCACTATCGCGGAAAAACTGGGTGGCCAAAAATTATGAAAAAATACTGTCTACGTGGGAATGATGAGTATATAACGGAGAATAATCCCAAATCGATACTATGATTGGTTTTGAAATACATATTCGGTTGCAAATTTAAATTTTTTGCTGTATTTCGATTTTTGGAAAAACTTCAAGAAATCAAAATAAACAAAAAAACGTCATTACTAACTTGCCAAAAGTGTTCAAGGAAAGGTAAAAAATTTCAAACGGTGTGTTGAAAAATTGACATTTCCCCTAAGTTGTCCAAAATTCTTCAAAAAAAAAAAAAATTGGGAGATAGATTACAACAATCTGATTCCAAAAATTTCGCATATTGACGATCTGGGTTCCACAGTTGAGGACTCTGATCCTGGAATTATGATGGAAATTTTCTGAGGATCCTATTTAGCGCTATTGTAGAAAAGCCGGGTAACCAAAAATTATTAAAAAAAAATCTATTTACCCAGGAATGATGGCTGTATAAGGGAAAATAATTCCAAATCGATACCTTGACTGGTTTTTGAAATATTGTGTTTCAAAATCAAGTTTTTAAAATATTTTTAAAATGACTATATTTTATGTTAACGATTTTGGAAAAAATGTATAAATTTTTAAAAAACTGTGGCTGTAAAAATTTAAGTGATCAAAATAAATAAAAAAGAATCACACCTTTCGGAAGTTTCAAAAGTACTCGAGGAAAAGTCAAAAATTTCAATGGGAAAACCGAATTTTCGCCAAGTTGCCTAAAAATTAACAAAACATTCTGGGAGACTGATTTTAATAAGCTGAATCTAAAAATGTGGCATGTTGATGGTTAGGGGTTTTAGGATTGAAGGATATCATCAAAAATTTTTTGACAGAACGTATTTAGCGCTATTGCAGAAAAACTGGGTGACCAAAAATTATGAAAAAAAATCCTGTTTGCCCAGGAGTGATGGGTTATAACTTATAAGAGAAAATAATCTCAAGTCAATACCATGACAGGTTTTCGAAATATTCGGTTTTAGAATCAAATTTTTTTAACTCAAAGATAAATCAATTTTCCCGATTTTGAAAAACTGGTGTAGATTTTTGAAAAACTGAGGCCGTAAAAGACTTCAAGAGATCAAAATAAACAAAAAAATCTGCTTTGCCAAGTTTCAAAGGTGCTCGAAGAAAGGTCAAAAACTTCAAAGGGAGGTATGGCAAAATTGAGATTTTCCCTAAGTTGTCTAAAAATCCACAAAAAAAAATCTGGGAGATAGATTAGAATGAGCTGAATCCAAAAATATGACATATCCACAGTTAAGGGGTTTCTTCGAAAATACCGGAATTATCATGGAATTTTTGTTAAGGACCCATTCAGCGCTATTACGGAAAAACTGGTCAGCCAAAAATTATGAAAAAAAATCCTCTTTAC